TTTATTCCTCCCAACTTCAACGCTGTGTTCTTGTCCATTATCTTTTGGTATGTATCTTCTGTGACTGCATTTGCAATTACTGATTTGGCATAACTGTTTGCCTTTCTAAACAGATCTGATTTATTTTTAAAATCTTTTGCCTGTTGCTCTGTTTGGTTTTCTAGTAATTCTGGTTTCGACAACTTCCCATCAATCACATCAAGTGCGCCCTCATGGTAGTCCATGAAATCTCGAACACGACGTTTCCAAATGGGCCAATCGGCTGCGCAACTTAACTGCTTTATTTGAAGCTTTAAATCCATTTCTTCCTTGTCTTTCAAGTTTACCTTTTAATTAGAAGCAAAATATCGAATTTCAGGGAATGAAGAAGCACGTGCTTTCTCTTCACTTCAGTCTTCACAAAGGAAAAGAAATTTCTTTATTCTAAATTTTCTTCGTCAAATCAATTAATTAAGAAAAACGTTATCTGGGTCCCATAACCTGTTAAATTTCTTATTACGTAGATCGCTTAATTAATTGATACAATATTGAAAGACATTAATAGACAAGAAATAAACTTTGCAACGTTCTCGACTTGTTTATTATCAACCGGATCAACAGAAAAGTAAAAGTGAAGTTACATACAAAGCAAAGAACACTTGGTCCAAAGAAAATAAATGTATATTATAAATCATAATGTTTTAATATAAAACATAAAACTTAACAAAAGCAACTAACAATCTGCGGTTGTTGATGCAATAGTCGTCGCACTGCTGTAAACCATAACTGTCGTTGGGGTAGTTGTCGTAAAAATTGTTCTATCATTTTATTTTTGTTTACAAAATTTTCATTTTCTAACAAGAAATGCATGGTACATTAAATCATAAGAAAATTAATGAATCTGCCATAATTTCAAATTTTTTCCTCAAATTCATAATGTTTATAGTAAAAATTTGAAATATTAAATGCTAAAAACAAAACGGTACTTATATTATACCCGCGTGTGTGCTTAAAACCCATACATACATGCATTCAACATTTCACAATCTGCTGTTTAGAGCAAATATTAATAGTAAATAATGTAAATATTTTAAAGATTTAATCTTTCTCAATATAATTTAAATTTATAATGATTTGTTAACTTGAAATATTGCAGTGAAGTTACAGTTTTAAAATATACTTTCTGTTAAAATAACGTTACAAAATCTTGAATGATTTATTATTTTTTAAAGCAACTAACAGCCAAAAAAACATTCTTACTTAGTTAGACGAGCTTTCTACTGAGCTTATTATACGAATAATTCAAAAATCACAACGTTAAATCGTGGTTGGCATGGCTGTTCAAAGATTAAGTGCTCGGTTTTGGTTACAATCGGATACGATCTGCCTATCGTATATTGTATAAGTTTTCAGTTGCAGATGCCAGGACCTGGAACTCATTGCCGGTTGATTTAAAAGTCATCCCTGGCATCGGTCGTGACGCCTTTAGAAGCGGCTTGAAACATCATTTTTTTTTCAAAAAAACGATGCACAATTATCGCGCCTTTGAAGATAGTTCAATAGAAGCGCTTTACAAATCTACAACGCAATGCAATGTATACTCATAATGCACAAATTCTCGTTTTATAAAAAAGTTCAGAGAAAAATATTTGCTGAGAACAAAAAACTGTAATTGATGAATTAAGTAATTTATTATTTGACGATATGATGGGGAGTGAAAAAAAGTTTCCGGTTGATTTTACAAACCTGGTGCTGCTGTTGTCATTGGCGTCGTTGCAGTTGAAAGAGTCATATTCGTTGCACTATTTGATAAGATGCTGCTTGCTAATGAATGAAATAAAATTACGTTAGCGTTTCAAATGAAGAATCAAACTGGAGAGGTTTTTGAATGTTTTTTTAGTCTCCTAATGTTTAATCTAAATAAGTTTTATTTTATGTTGATTTAGTTTGTATTTTTTGATAAATAAATAATGATAGAACTTCTGGGGAATTTTTCAAGAAAATTACAATAATTGAAATCGAGATTTATAATGAAATTAACCTGTAGTAATGACACTGAGCACCACAACAGTGGTGAGGACAGTGGCCACCCCGGCGCTCCCCATTACCCACAACAGGGCCGTCCTTCCGCCGTTAACTGTCTCCTCTACTGCATCCACTGCTGCAGTACCCTACGATATTTATTTTTTATAATTTTATTAGAAAAAAGTTTAATTAATCCATATAATTAAATCAAAAAGTACATAAACGTGATGATCATTTGGGTATTGGTGTTGTTTAATTAGATAATTAAATAAGTATGTTAATTCTATAGTTCAATAATGTTTTGTTTTGGCATGATCAAATCAGAACAAATTTGAAAAATTTTGAAAACAAAAATTTTTTAAACTTTTTGTTCGCAAAAATTTATACCAACTACAATTGGTGAAAAAATGATTAAATTACTAGATTTAAAAAATTAGGCATAATTTATTGTATCTTGTGTTTCCTTTCTTGCCAAGCCACATTGGAGCCGCAAATATGCTAAATATTCCATCCACTTCATTAAGGAATAACACGAAAATGTTCGAAAACTTGGAAATATTTTTTGAATCTAACAAAAATTATTCTTAAAAGATAAAGGAAACATTAATTCAAACACGTTTACCACTTTACATTAAGTTTTTTTTCAAGTTTATCAATATTTTTGTAAAAAAAAAGAAAACTAACCTGTATATTCACCGTTGCCATTTTCAACAAGATTTCAATTAAAATTAATTGATCTTTAATTACTAGATTTGTTTATATTAATCAATTAATTAATCTCTAATTATTATCTTCATCAATAGTTAATTTATTCAATTAAAAGTTAATTTATTTAACATCCGCAAATTAAGCTGTCACTACAGTTTTTAATGGGTTTTAAAAAGTTTTATAATTTGCGATATATTTCTTTTTGTTTGTTCTATCTTAGAACCCCAAGCTGCTAATTTCATTAAATTAGATAACACTAAACTCAAAAAACACGGTTTTTTTCTAAAATATTGTTGTTGAAAATAGTCACTAAATATATCTTACCTGTTACAATACAAGTAGCTCTTGTTGAATTTACTTCAGTTATTGTTGCAATTGTACAGTAGTAGTAAACAAAAACGAAATCATTTAACAATTTTATAAATAGAATGCATTCTACAGAATTCATCTGTCCCGTGTTTAACATGTATGTATGTTAATTTTTAGATGAGGATGTTATAGCATATATGGGGGTTTGATCAACCTGTAACTTCTTGCTTGAACTGAGCTCAGACCAGCCTTTGTTGTTGAACTGTCTCCTACTATCCTTATACACAGATGATCAAACATTAGCAAACCTATGCAACCCACTTGTATGTTATGACAAATTCATACAAGTGGGATTGTTATTCTGGAATAAGATGTTATATATAATAAAGATGCTAAATTCAACGGCACGAATTTTTAATGTGATTGTTTTTTTGTTATTGATTGATTTTTATATTAAGTCTGCAAACAAAGATATTATTTTCTCAAAAATTTGATCAAACTCAAAGTTGTGTTGAGTCATTATTTTATAATTTTTCATGTGCTTTGTAACACAGAACGTGAGTTAGATGACGAATCAAAGTGGAAAATGTTAAAGTTTTTGTAGCATTTAGACCGTGATCATCCTATGCTCAATGGAACAAATTTTAAGAACTAAATCTCTAATTTTATCCTATTTTGTAAAAACATTTTAATCATTTCAAAAATTTTGTATAATATAGAGATTTATCTGCAAGAAATAGAAATAAATGAGTTTATATAATAGAATTCCTCTTCGGAAAATTTGAACCATCTTAACTTATCAATATTCAGCATTGAATTCAATCTATTCATTTCATAATTTTAATTCTATAATAACTAAATGATACTCTTATTACGTTTAAATACTTACTTTTTAAAAAAAACTATAAAATTTTGACTAAATAAGTTTTACTTTTCATATTGTTAAAATATTTTCGCTATTATTTTCACTTCCAATAACTATTCAAGCCAGAGTTGAGATACAGTTGATGACATTTTTATTTCATGTAAACAATCTTTACTACTAAATAATTGATGGTTGATGCTTTGCTAACATTTGATTAACATATTCAAATTTTTAGGATAAATTATGTTAACACGGAAGAATTTGACTGTTGCACGCTCAACAGGCAAGTAACAGCGTAAACATCGGAGTTAAAATAACAAAAAAATCATGAAATTTTATTATTATAATTATTTAAATGTTTGAATATTGAAAAAATCCCCCCAAAATCAACAACAACAGACGTAACAAAACGAAACAATAACCAGTACTTTATATAGTAACGTAAAATCGTGCTAGTGCTTTCAAACAGCAGTGAACAGCAGTCGAATTGAAATGAATGCGACAATGTTGCAAATCGTGAGCTTCAAATCCAAAATACATTTTGATATGTCGCTACATAACCGAGCGTGATGTCTTAGTGTCAAATTATAAGCACAACGTGATCTCTAACTTGTTTGCATTGCACTGCACGAGCTTATAGTAATTGCTTTCTTATTTAACGCAAGTGGGCTAATCAAAATTACGGAATCATTTTGTTCTGATTTTGTGGTGCTTATAAAAATCAAAGTCCCCAGCTCTTCTATTTTTTTTCTCATGAGGACCACCACACATTGACTGTTTAACCTTATACAATCTTACTCTTTCTCTCTCTCTCTCTCTTTCTCTCTCTTTCTCTCTCTCTCGTTCTCTCTCTCGCTCTCTTTCATTCTTTCTTTTTCTCATTGATTTTCATTTCTGCTATTTTTCTCTCTTCGCTTCTTCTTTACTCATCATTCATTTTCTTTTCTCGCAAGTTAAATTTCATTTTGTAAAATTGTTTAAAATTAACAGAATACCTATTAAATAAAATATGGTAGCAAGTAGCATCTTCAACTATTTTATTTATTTTTTTGAAACATTGTATTAAACAATGTTACAAAAAATGTTTTCTCAGCAAATTTTAACATCAATGGTCATATTGATTTTAGTTATTTGAGTAGCATCGTGAGGTGTATAAATAAATTCAAGTTTGTTCATCACATAGTTTCCGTTCGTAATGTATTCAACTCTTTTGCTCTGAAAGGAAAATAAGACTTATATTCATAGATTAAAATTGATTATGCATGCTATCAATGAATGATAACTGACTGTATCATTTGGAGGAGTTAACAGCCATTGTTGATACGTGGGAACTGTCAAAGACTTATACACCGTCAAATTGAACGTTTGAACGTTTTCCATGCCCACAATCAAGTTCACCACCGTCCAATTAGTTGAGGCGTTGTAGAAAACCATTGGACTGTTTTCTGGAACAATGTAAATGCCGCCAACATTTTTTATATTAGTATTTCTCGGGGGGTAGAGGTACGTGGCATTGAATATTATGCAAGCTAGAAAAGAATTAAAATGTTATAGTGTATATATGTGATCTTTTTTAATTAGATTATATCGCTAATGACATGAAATTTACAGTGGAGAATTAAATAAAACTTATATTATGCATGCTGTCAATGCAGTCGTGACCTCAACAAAAAGAGGAAATTAAATTATTGAGGAAATAATTTCCTCCAACCTATTAACAAGCTGGATGGTGGAAACAAAAAAAATAAAACGTTAAATGTGAAAAAATTGATTTATATATAATACATGTTTATGCAGCAATGTGTGTGTGATACATCATTTTACGCGCATTTACTGTGTGTTGATGCCACTTAAATATATTACAAATAAATTAAATAATGAATAATTGCCAGAAAAAATTATTCTTTTTTAGAGAGAGAGAGAGAGAGAGAGAGAGAGAGAGAGAACTGTTAAAATATTTATTTTAACATACGATCTGGTGTCGTTGCCACTGAGTTCGTTGAAAAGGAAGTTGCTGTGGACAATGAAGTGGCTGCCGATGTAACTGTTTGTTTATTTGTTTGAGTGGTTTGCTAATGATGATGACTTTTTAGTTATTTAAAATTTTAACGAAATGAATTTTTTTCCATTTTACCAACCTATTAATTTTGAAATTAATGCTGAATCAGCAGCTACCATTGTTGAATTAATTGTCGTTGTTGAATTCTGCTGAAGTTGAGAAGATGCTGATGGAATGGGGTAAAATTTGTTGATTTACCCATTAGAAATAATTTCTAAGAGGAATTTTATTCATAATACAAATATTTACTCTATGTCATGCAGATGATGCTTCGCGCCTAAGTGCTTACATATCACATTGTTGTTATATAGTTAAACATTCGTGCCATTATGGCTCTAAGATGTATAAACATGGCGTATGGTAGCATTGGGCTAAATATGAAAAACAAATTCGTCTGACTCAAGTATTCTTGTTGATTTTATATGTTTGAGTGAGGCTGGTTCTAAATTTAAAATCAGAAATTATGTAAAACGTCAAGCTCTTGCAGAAATGACAATCCTGTTACTGACAATCCTCTCAAGTAAGTTAACATTAATGTACAATGAAAAATTTTTCATAATAAATCAATTAATTAACTGTTGGATTGTTATAATTTATAAAAAATATGATCGGATAATATCAATACAATGTAAAAACATAGAAAATAAAATCTAAGTATAGTTTCATTCATTTATTTCTTCTATCTACTGAAAAAATAAAATTCAATTAATAGAAGGAAATTATCTTTTCTATGATTTTTTACTTGAAATTTTTTACGTCACGCTGTACGTGCCAACAGTAGCCGATCTACCTTGTCTATCTTTATCTACCTTTCAACAACCTTGATAGCTGTGCTCCATTTTTAGGGGTATGATTTTCAGGTTAGCACATAACACCCGCCAATGCTCGTTATATCTTATTTTTTGTAAAATGCTTTTTATACATTCATATAGTGTTTATGCAGATTACATACTGAGTATCGGTTTTCTGTGTTGTTAATGTTTACCGGCATTACCAAAGTAGTTTGTTTTAACATTACAATGTTAATGTCGATTAGTTTTTTACCTAGTTATCTGGTCAAAATGTATATGGTAGTTTTCTGATCAAAATAGATATGGTAGTTTTCTGTTCAAAATGGATATGGTATTTGAAATCAGCACACCAAAATACATAAAGATCACCTGTTATCTCGAACGAGGTCATTCTGTAACACAACAACAGCTTGACACATGGCACTTTGATTAATTGAACTAACTCCTCGATCGATCCAAGTGTTTTATTTTTTATTATGTTTACTCCTATTAACTTCCAATAAACCTTCACTATCTGAGAACTTTTCCAATACAGTTCAAATAAAGTCATATAAATTGCCCTCCGAAAAATTTTATATGAACGAATTTGAATAAATAAAGATAAAAATAAATTATCGATAAATAATCAAAATAAATATTGTAACTTGCAACCACCTACCTGTAAAGAAGACACTAAGCAGCAGAACTGTGGTAACGACACTGGCCACTCCGGTACTCCCCATCACACACAACAGGGCCGTCCTTCCACCGACGACTTCCTTCTCTACTTCGTCATCGGGCTTTGAGTTTTCGTAAAATGTCAAATCGTAAAAAATATTTTTTATAAAGTTTTTGAAAATTTGAAATCTTTGATCAATTTAGAAAATGAGTAATAAAAAAAATTTTATACGTAATAACTTGTTTAATTGTCTAATTTTGACTTTATTTAAACTCGTTGCACTTGAAGAAGACAGTATTAAAATCACAGTTAGTCATATATTGCATTGGAATATATGCGAATGACATCTTTTTAATTCTCATTCCATAAAAGAAACTTGAAACAAAATAAAATTTATTTTTTGTAAAATCCATTTTTCTATAAATAACTTTTCCTACCTCTAGCTAAAAATTGTTTTAATAAATTTTCATAATTAACAACAAAATATTTTATTTAGATTTTTAAATATACATAAGTTGAAGTTAGCCCGCAAAAAAATCACCTACTTGCAGACTCGATGAAGTCTTGACAACCGTAAAATCAATCCTAGTGTAGAACATCAGTTTACTAGTATCAATAACTTCAGACATTTAGTCATCTTTTAACAGAGAAAATTTTTCAAATGAAAATTCGTTAAATTTGTCCATTCATTCATCTGTAAGTGAAAATCTTAACTAGTTACTCCCTCTTATATTATTTGGTTTTCAAACTTGCTTTATTTGTTCTTTCATTCATTTATTAATTTATTTGTTTTTTTCGTTCATTCATTCACTTATTCACTCACTCATTCGTTCGTTCGTTCATTCATTGATACGTTGTTGACATAAACATCTGTACAGAAATTGAATTTAATATTAAAATAATGATTGACTACAATCACAGTATGGCAAAAGTATCATGAAAATATTACTTATATAAAAAGCAATCAACTGAGTTATCAGTGTGTGTGTGTGTGTTTGTTTGTTTGTTTGTTTGTATGCATGTGCGTGCTCGTGTACTGTGGGTTATGCGTGTGTATGTTTATTTTTATGTTTACACCTTTGTATGTGTGTTTAAGTCATGCAGTTATGTATTTGATGATTATATATTATATGATTTTGATGAGGATGTATGCAACACCAGTTGCTGTGTATGTGTGTGTATTTGTTTAAAAGCAATATTGTTTATGCGTGCGTTTTGTTGTTTATGTTTGATGTATTTTGTTGTTTGTTTGTTTGTGTGCCTGTGTGTTGTTGTTTATCTGCATGTGTATCTATGTGTATCTGAATCGAATTCCATATAGATGTGTTGTTATTTGTCGTTGCGGTGTTCGTTTAAGTTGTGTCCGTGCAAATAATTTTTCTACAATTTAATCCTCAATTACTTTATTTCAAATTTTAAATGTTATTTCAATTTTATTATTAACACAATGAGAGCTTTATGTGTGTGTATAGTAGTAGTCTTTTGTTATTTAGAACATGATTTGCTTGCTCGAAGTCAGTCGCGCCACTAATGTTCTATAACATAGGAAAGCATAGTCTATTTTATACTGTTTATGTTGAATATTTCGTTTTCATTTTTATAACTCTCTCTTGACTACATTTATCAGAAGTTTAAGAACACACACAAACAACACACACACACAAACACAACAAACACACACACAACAAACAAACACACACACACACTTGAAAAAGAAAAAAAAACAACCTGGTAAACTCCATCAAGTTTAACAAAATATGTGTTCAAACCAAATAAATATATCTATACAAAAAAAGGAATACCCAAACACATACCTACACACACACACACACACACACACACATTTACAAACAAACAAACACACACACACACAAAATAAATACACACACACAAAATAAATACACACACACAAACAAGCACACACACATTATATTCTACACATACACACATCTTATAAATACATAGATTATAACCTAATGACCAGGAAGTTATCTTAGCGGCGCAAAACGATTGAAAATCAAAATATAATTTCATTATCTTTCAATTTCTCTGCTTCTCTCTCTCTCTCTCTTTCTCTCTCTCTCTCTCTCTCTCTCTCTCTT